TATTTATTTAATTCATGAGAGACACAGAGAGAGGAAGAGGCAGAGACACAGGCAGAGGGAGAAGCAGGCTCCATGCAGGGAGCCCAACGTGGGACTTGATGTTGGGTCTCCAGGATCACGCCCTGGGCTGAAGGCAGCGCTAAACCGGTGAGCCACCGGGTTGCCCTGAATTGTATATTTTAAAGGGGTGAATGCTATAGTATGTGTATCTTCATCTTCTAAAAAAGATAATGCAGTCTAATGGTTCACAATTCAAAAGACACAAAAGTCAGCAATGAAAAGTCTTCCTTCTTCCTCTGAGAGCAGCTGCCCATCACCCCTGCAGCCCTTTGGACATATGTGCTCATCAAGGAGAAAGTTTTTTGTTATTTGAGATGTAGCTCTATGCACTTATTTTGCCTTTTTTATCCTCTGCACACTGCTTTGAATTTTGCTTTTTTCTTAGGCATGTGTTCTTGACTACAATCTATGAGCCCCTTTAATATTATACATTCTGGAACAGTTTACTGCAGATTAACACACCCTACAGATTAACATGAGGTAGCTGTCTATAATAAGTATTAGCATGATGATATTTAATTGTATTATATCATCATCAGTAAGCAGTCTTTATCAAGTCCAATCCAGATTAAGGCACTGGAATTAAATTGAGTCTCATCTGAGCTTGGGGAATCTGGGTCTTGGCCAAAGCACCCCAGTATCTGCCTGGGATTTTGTTTTTAGAAGAGTTTGTGGTTATATGATTCCTGGTGAAGATATACACATACAGGTGAGCCTTCACTCTCTGAACATTTTTGTTCCTGAAGACGCTTGAGAGAACTGCTTAAATTGAGTCAGGTAGGTAAAGAGATGGTCTGACCTGCCCTGGGCCACAGTCAACAAAGACCAAATACACAGCCAAGGACCACATTTGGAAACCCCCTCCTGGGGCGCTGCCAAGCCTGGGCTGTGTGTGGTTACCTGTGGCCCTGCACGGAAGCCCACAGACCCCAGAGCTTATGAGTTAAAGCAGCAAGTTCCAGAACAAGCCCCCTGCTGCTCTCATTAAGATTAGATGGCTCATTTTGTGCTGGACTCCTTAAAATCTTTTAGAATCGAGGTCTTAGGGTCAGTTTTTGTTCATTTGTTCATCTGTATGATAGAAATTTCTGTATAAAAACCACTGACCAGGGAGCTTCAGCTGGTCCATTTCTCTTCTCTGACTCTTGCTGCCCTTGTTCCTGTTGGTGCTTCTAAATGAAGGGCCCCAGAATGTCCCATTCTCTGGTTAAATAAGTCAGTGGGACATGTATCCCAAGTGGTGTTCTCATCAGGCTTTCAGGTCATTTCCTGGTGATGGTCTCTCTGCCCTAACGCCATGGGTGCCAGCAGCATGCCGTCTTGCTGGCCCCTCTTCCAGGTAGTGACTAAGCCCTGCAGGAGAGGAATGCAGGACTTCCTCCCATGCATGGATAAGGGGCCTTGGAAGGGGGTGGAGTCAAATATGCTGTGGGGTTTAAAAGCTGGAGAGACAGAATCAAGGGCAGAGGCTCTGGATATGAATAACCCTTAGCCCACACATTGTAGAGAGGATTAATGAAATAATGCAGTCATGTACCAAATGTGCTTAGAACAGCTGCTACTCAAGAAGTGTTGGCCTTGGCAATGAGAACATGGAGCAAAACAGCTGTCTACAGAAGAGAAGGCCCATCGAGGAAACTATTTTGCAGAAACCACAGAGGCCATCTGGCCTCAGATTAAGAGCTTTGTGAAGGTCTGGGGCAACTATTAGAGGGAACGCAATAAGGAATACACTGGAAGGAAATCAATTGCTTGGCAGCTGCAAGAAGGGCCCACCTGAGTGATGCCTGGGTGGCTCAGTGGTTGAGCATCTGCCTTTGGCTCAGGGCATGATCCTGGGGTCCCAAGATCGAGTCCCGCATCAGGCTCCCCAAATGGAGCCTGCTTATCCCTCTGCCTGTGTCTCTGCCTCTGTGTCTCTGTGTCTCTCATGAGTAAATAAATAAAATCTTTAAAAAAGAAGAAGAAGAAGAAGGGCCCACCTGAGGTAGAGAATCATGGTGGAGTGAACACTACCTCTTGTCAAGTGATTCTCAGAACTCAGGTGTTGTATTACCTTTGTTGTACCATTGTTGTATTGATTGACTCATAATAAGATCACTGGAAAAATACTTGTAAATGCTGAGTTTTCTATCTGACACAAAATAAGCACTCAATAAATGGTGGTGGTGGAGGTGGAGGTGATGTTTCAGGGAAGACTCTAGAGACTCTGGGGCAGACTCACATTTGTTGAGCAGGTGTAATGAGGAGCTCACTTGGGTGTAAACCAGGGCAGGGCACCTCGGCCTCCGAGGGAGAAAAGCTACTCTATATAAGAGAGTAGAAACTTCATTTTCTTGGGTGAAGATAGGGATTCCAGAAGGAGGAGAGTCAGGGATGAGGTTTTAAAAGAGAAAGAATTTTGGGAAAAAAGAAATCTATCCAGTAGGCAATTCGTTTTGGCTTTGAAGTGTGAGGTTAACCTTTTTCTTGGGCTCCTCAACATCATCTGTAAAGTCTATGCTTTCCTCCACAGGTTTTGGAAAAGTTATCACCAGGGTCTCAAAGAGAGTTTGAGTCCTGTGCTGAGTTAAGCACATGATTAAAAATAGACTAAGCCCATGGTGGCAGGATCCAGAAGACAGAGAACTGGTGATATCTGGCATATACTGTCACTGCCATGATCACAGTGAATCCAGAAAAGGGGCCAGTGTTGGGGACAGGAGAAGCAGATGACAGCTAAGAGCATGATCTGAGGGGAGTGAAAGAACTCTGACTGTACATTCCTTAAACCAGCCCCTGAAGGAATCATAGCAGGAAGAAGAAAGATGGTTTAAACTTCAAAGGAAGCAAAGGGTCATGAGGTACAAGTTAAGCCAGTGTGGAGTGTCTTGAGCCATACAGCAGCAGACGGCACACTCTGCCCACATGGTGGTTTGGTTGATTGTGCCTGAGAGTCTTGGGTCTGGATTGGATGCCCTTAGATCTGGGTCGGGAGGCACTACACGTGTGCAGTTTGCACTTCTTTCTTGTGGGGGTCTCAGAGAAGGCCAGATTCCTTGAGTTCTACTGGCTGACATATTCCTTGTACCCTAATGACATGGGTGAGTTGGGTCTAGTTGTTCCTCAACTGGTTAGTTCCTCTAGCAGAACATAAACAGTTTGGAAAGAGAGGATGGAGCTGGCAAGGCCCGCTTATTCAGTGGTTTGACACTATACCTGAATTTCCAAATTGGAAATACATGACCCCATTCACCAATCGACAAACATAAATGCATAGTTTTTAGTTCCACACACTGAAAACTATCTGAGATGCCTGGGATATGACTGTTCTCTTTCCCTTTACCTCCTTGCAATTGCCCTCAATACTGAGGCCAATTTATACTTTACTTGCCTGAACATTAATTTTAATGATTTGGCTTAGTCAAAACCCAACATCACACTAAATATACTTCTGTTAGTCTGAGGCTAGGTATATCAGAATGTGACCTTGTAATATGACTTTGTTATATCTCCCCATTCTGACCCTACTGGCCCATGAAGAGGAGAAGCTGGTGGCTATTATTTCTCAACAGGCACCATGACTTCATAACCTGAACCATATCCCAATAATCCGATCAATACATGTTTTTGTTGTTGTTGTTGTTGTTGTTTTAGATTTTTTTATTTCTTATGAGAGAGAGAGAGAGAGAGATGCAGGCTCCATGGAGGGAGCCCAATGTGGGACTTGATCCTGGGACTCCAGGATCATGCCTTGGGCCAAAGGCAGGCACTAAACCGCTGAGCCACCCAGAGATCCCCAATACATGGTTTTAAATGATATTGTCTTTAACTTTGTTTTATCAAGGAGGCTGTGAAATCTCTGACCTAATCTTGTCTTTTTATTTGGGAAGTAGAGGCTGTGCTCTTTGTAAAAGGACTTGGGTTTTTCCTGGAGTAATCCAGATGGGGTTTTTACGTTTAAGCTTATTTAAATGGTGGCAACTCCTCTTCCTGCACAGAGTATCTTTATATACTTTTTAAGATTTAAATTGAGGACTAAAGCTACAAATGCTTTTACTACGATTAATGTTTTAAAGATTAATGTTGGGGACGCCTGGGTGGCTTAGTGGTTGAGTGTCTGCCTTTGGCTCAGGGCCTGATCCTGGGGTCCTGGGGTTGAGTCCCGCACTGAGCTCTCTGCATGGAGTCTGCTTCTCCCTCTGCCTATATCTCTACTTATGTCTCTCATGAATAAATAAATAAAATCTGTAAAAAAAATAAAGATTAATGTTGTGTTTGTATGTATGAATGTACTGTACTCAGGCAGGTCCACTGATAACTTTTTTATTCTCCAGTCGACGTTTCTTGCTTCCAGGGATACAGAATGGCTATGGTGGTTAGTTTTATGTGTCAGCTTACTGGGTCTAAGGGTGTTCACAGAGCTGGTGAAACAGTCTCTCTGGGTGTGTCTGGGAGGCTGTCTCTGGAAGAGATCAGCATTTGAATTGGCAGATTGAGTAAAGACGATCACTCTTACACGGGTTGGGCTTCATCCAATCCATGAGGGCCTGTATTGAACAAGATGGTGGATGCCGGATGAATCCATTCTGTCTGCTTGAGCTGGGACATCCATCTTCTGTCTGTTGGATATCACTGTTCCTGTTTTTCAGGCTTTCAGACTCAGACCAGACTTACACTATCACCCCACCACCCCCATGCCTGCAGACTCAGACAGAACCACACCACCTGCTCTCCTGGTTCTCCAGCTTGCAGATGGCAGACTGTGGGACTTCCCTGCCTCCATCACCGTGTGAACCCATTTCTGTAATTATAAATACATACATAGATATTCATCCTATTGATTCTCTTTCCCTGGAGAACCCTGTCTAATACTGTGGCTCCCTTAGAAAGGGATACTGTCAAAAGTCAGCTTTCTCAGGGGCCTTTCCAGCTTTCAGGACAGCTTGGGGAATGGGAAAGATGGCTCTCACTGGACAATAAAGAAAAGGTCCAGTGCTTAACAAACACATGATCACGTGGGGAACAGGTGCTATGCAATGTGCCTAAGTTTCAGTCTGATTTTTCTTTTTTCTTTTTTTCCAGGTAAAAGGAATGTTTATTTATTTAGCATTTATGGGCCTAATGGCTCCATAAATAAACCTGTACAGAGTTGGGAAGTAGCCCACAAGAAATACAGGAGCGCAGAGAGCGTGTATTAAGGCTCAGGGATCAGTACATGTCATCAGGCTCAGCATCCTCCCATCTCCAAGGGCACTAACAAAGCTGTGGGCCTCTCCATTGGAACGGAAACAGCAGGATCCCTGCTGCAGGATATCCCAAAATGTGGGGGATCCATTGCAGGCTCAGCCTGTGATCCAGGTCCAAAAGTTCCAGCCTTCTCTGCCACCTCTAGGGCTAACTCCAGGTTCTGGTCAAACAGCTCACACCTGATGGGCATTTCCAGGGAGTAGAATGGATTCTTGAGGGCAAAGTCTGAGTAGATCTCATAAATCTTTTGGAGAAGAGAATCTATTCCCGCTTGCCTAGGATTTGCCAGCACCGCAAACTTGATCCCTGTCAGTGTCTGGAAGCAGTGCAGTTTGCACGAGTCGGTCTCCAGCATCTCAGTGCCTGAGCTGCCCTGTTCTGGAGACAGCTGGGAACCGATTGCGAACAGTGAGTGGAACATAGAGGCCAACATAAGCTTCTCATTGGAGGTGAGGCGAGGTCGGCCAAATCGAATAGACACCGGGTAATTGGCAGGATTGCTCAAGTACCCCAGCACCTCTTTCCCATCAGCCATGAACTTGCCATTCACGTCCACGCCATTGATGGCCAACGCTGTGGCCCACCCAGATGGTGTCGTGCTGGCCGAAGGCAGCTAGGACACGCTCGTCATGCAGCTTGAGCAGCAGATCAAGAGGGTGACTGGAAGTTTTCTCAGCCTCAGCCCTTGGTGCGTAGCTGTCCAGCCGGTGGATCAGGCCGCCAGCTTTGTTCACCACATACACACTAAAAATCGCCACTGCGGCGGCCCAGACTGATTTTTCTAGAATCAAGGAGTGGAGGTGTGAGGCCAACTCCATTCTGGCTAGGGCTCCAAATTCTCTCTGTTTCATGGCCACGGGCCCAAGATCAAAAAGGTGGAGCACGTAAGGTTCAGGACAGTCCCTGTACCCCAGCCACCAGAAGCAGGGGCACCATCTGCACCTGCTTTGTTTAGCCAGAAAGGACCTCCCCAAGCCTATGCAGGGCCGACAGCACCCACAGGTAGGAAGGACGATGGCATTCAGGAGGCTCCCAAATCCTGTCACTGAAAAAAAAACCCGGGGTTCCAGAGAAGAAACTGCAGCTCAGGTCACCACATTCACACCCCCAAGGTCACCACAAGGCTCTTGAATCATCTTGCTGTGAAACTCCATAGCCAGCTGGTCCTTGTTTGCCCGGCACAGAAAGGTTTCCCAGGATGCAAGTCTTGGGGTTTTAAAGCCAGGAGAAGCAAGTCTGGATGAGTTGGTTGCCTCAGAGAGGAGCTGCAAGTGATAGGCATGAAGGATGTAATTCATTTGAGGGCTCAAGACCCCTTCTGAATCACTGGGTAGAGCCCATGCTCTCCCCAAGAGCACCCCACTAATGAGAACTGGCTCATTCTACTTCTGCCTGTTTCTTTTCCAGATTCCCCAGTCAATACCTCCTTCCTTATCACCCACTGACTCTGAGCCCGGCATGGGCCTCTGCTACCCTGGTGAGGGCACCAGCCCACCTGCACTGCATTTTCATTTGAAGCACTGTGTGTGCAAGACACAGAAGAAGGCCCAGAAATGCAGGACTCCACCTTACCCTCAAAGGGAATATAAATCACAGGTGCATTTTTAAAAAGCTACAATCCTAAAAGGATAAAAGATGAGCAAACTGGAATAAAAAACAATATTTTACCCAGAAAGCAACACACATTCTTTTCTTCAGTTCTGTTGCTTTGTTAAAGCTGCGCAGGCAGCCTCTAAGAGGCACATGGTGGCCACCAGGGGCAAACGCTGAAGCGGCTTGTGTAATACCTTCCCATGCTGTGCACTTCCAGCAGGATTGTAGTTACAGTGGAAAAACAGCACCCACAGCTGCCAAACCAACAAAAATTATATGATAGGCACTTTTATAATTTCAGCCCCTAACTATACTGGGCCAGCATACTCGAAAATCCGTTGGCCTGAGTGGGCAGCCTAACTCCCTCACGCAGGGTACGTCACCTCTGAAGCCTCCCATAAGACAGCATCCCCGTCCCCGACCGGCAGTTGGCCTGAGACCTGGTATACAGCAAGTGCTCAGCTGCTGTTACTGTTCATCTCTGTGTGCATCTCTCTGTGCATCTCTGTGCATCTGGGCTGGGGCCTGCCGACCCAGTGATGAGGGATAGGCAGGTGACATCCCTTATCCCACTGGGCCTGGCCTTTGTAGGTCTGACTTCAGCCTATTCCTCTTCCCTCAACCACAGGACATTGGGAGGAGCTTCCCTCAGGGGCTCCTGCACCCTCCCAAGCCCACGTTCCAGGGAGAACAGGGAGCCTCCAGTGAAAAGCAGCCTGAGAATCCAAGTACCACGCAGCCTTCTCTTTTTTTTTTTTTTTAATTTTTATTTATTTATGATAGTCACACAGAGAGAGCAAGAGAGGCAGAGACACAGGCAGAGGGAGAAGCAGGCTCCATGCACCGGGAGCCCGATGTGGGATTTGATCCCGGGTCTCCAGGATTGCGCCCTGGGCCAAAGGCAGGCGCTAAACCACTGCGCCACCCAGGGATCCCAACCACGCAGCCTTCTGCATCAGGGTCTCTGGGGAGACACAAGACCAACATCATGTCTTTGAACCTGGATAGTAGGGGAAAACAGCTGTGTGTTTGGAACAAAGGAACACAATCTCTGCCAGGCAATTCCTTCCCAAGCAGGCTGCAGGCAGGGTCTGGAAGGCCATAAGCGATGCTGTAGTTCATAGCCTTGCATGTGGACACAGGCCAGAAGTTTCCTCGAGGATGCCAACATGTTTCCAGAGAGGGTCCTGGGCCCACTCAAACATCCACTGAAGAGGAGGCACCCATCCCGCCACATAGGCAGCTCCCCGAATCACGAGAGCAATGAGATTAGTACCCAGCAAAGCTGAGGTAGCGATGGGTAGATGGGTGGGTGGGAAAAAGACAGGAAGGGGATTGTGAGTGAGACCAAGAATGAGGCCTGTTTGGTTTTTTTCTCCATAACAGATGCATATAACACTCGTAAAGCCCATCATTTAAATCAGTGGTTTCAGTTTGCTGGTTCCATCTGCGGTTAAGTTCTCGGAAAGCAGGGACCACTGTGTGTATGTACGAACTTCACTGCGTCGTATCCATCTTACACAATCAAATGCTTAATAAGTAAATCAAAGACCTGCCTGATCCCCTAAAAATGTCTTACTATTTTCAGGCAGGTGATTAGGGCAAAGACTGTGCATGGTTTATGCATCTAGGAACTGCAACATGTTAACTTTAAAATAAATGATTTTTAGAAACCAATAAATGCCCAGTGAATGAGCAGTAGACAAGTGGGAAAATCAAGGCCCTCTCTTCCCCCATTACACTCCCCAGAGGTACCACTGTTAACACTTCAGACTTCAATACAATAAACTTTGACTTACCTTGGTGAAATTGACAGTTACTCATTTTCTAGAATTTATTTTTTCCTCTCTTAAATTGTCATTTCTTCCATGTCTGCTTTTTATATCCTTTTTATTATATTTTTGTAGTCCCCCAAATACTTGGTCAAGTTGAATTTAGGGTCTTTTGGGGATCCCTGGGTGGCTCAGCGGTTTGGCGCCTGCCTTTGGCCCAGGGTGCGATCCTGGAGTCCCGGGATCGAGTCCCGCGTCGGGCTCCCAACATGGAGCCTGGTTGTCCCTCTTCTCTGCCTCTCTTTCTCTCTATGTCTATCATAAATAAATAAATAAATCTTTAAAAAAAATTTAGGGTCTTTTTAATACAAAATTTACAAACTCTGATGTACATGCACCTTAGATGTACCTGAGGTGACTTTTGACAAATATCAAAATAAAGAACGTTTGGGGCAGCCCTGGTGGCTCAGCGGTTTAGCACCGCCTTCAGCCCAGGGCATGATCCTGGAGACCTGGGATCAAGTCCCGCATCAGGCTCTCTGCATGGGGCCGGCTTCTCCCTCTGCCGATGTCCCTGCCTCTCTCTCTCTCTCTCTGTGTGTGTGTGTGTGCGTGTCTCTCATGAATAAATAAATAAAATCTTTTTTAAAAAATACAAAAATAATGTTGCTGCTGCCTGAAAAAATTCTGTACTTCTTTCCAGTTAATCCTTTCTTTCCAAGGAACAACCATGGTTCTGATTTTCTTCCACTGTAGATTAGCTGTGCCTGTTCTAGAGCTTCCTATAAACATAGGCATACTCATTTTTTTTAAATATTCCATTTATTTATTCATGAGAGACACACACAGAGAGAATCAGAGACACAGGCAGAGGGAGAAGCAGACTCCCCGAATCCATGGGGAGGCTAATTCAGGACTTGATCCCGGGACCTCAGGATCATGCCCTGAACCAAAGGCTCAACCGCTGAGCACACAGGCGTCCCTTGTGTATGCCTTAGTTTGCTCAGCATAATGCTTCTGGGATCCATCCTTCCTATGCTCGCAATGCCCATTTCCTTTTTATTGCCATGTAGCATTCCATTTTATGAAGATACCACAATTCACTTGTCTATTCTCCTGTTCATGAACAGCTGATATGTCCCAGTTTTTCCATTCCAATGAACAGAGTTTCTGTGAAGAGTCCTGTCTGAGTCTTGTGAAGGTGTTTCTATTTCTTTTGGGAAAATACGAGGGAGTGGAATTGCTAAGCCACAGGGTAGATGGTAATACAGCTTTATAAGAAGTTGCCACATCATCACTAATATTTGGTAATGCCAGTCTTTTTTTGAAATTTTAGGTAAGTCTGTAGTGGTATCTTTCATTTCTCTGCTGAGTAACGGCTGAGTGCCTTTCATGTCCCTATTAGCCATTTGTCTGTCTTCTTTCATGATGTGTTCATTCAACTCCTTTGTCGGTTGTATTTTATTTTTATTTTTTACAAAGATTTTATTCATTTATTTGAGAGAGAGAGCACAAACAGAGGGAGCAGCAGAGGGAGAGGGAGAAGCGGGGAGCCCAACTCAGGGCTCCATCCCAGGACTCTGAGATCATGACCCGAGCTGAAGGCAGATACTTAACCAACTCAGTCACCCAGGCACCTCTAAACTCTTTTGTCTGTTTTAATTGCATTGTCTTTTCATTATTTAATTAAAAGAGTCATTGTAACCTTTTTCAGAGGTTTTGCAAATATTTTCTCCTTAAATGCTTGCCTATTTATTTTCTTAATAGAATCTTTTATCAACAGAAGCTTTTAATTTTGATAGAGATTAAAGTATTGATTTTCCTTTTTTTCTTTTTGCTTTCTGTGACCTGCTTATCAAACATTTGCCTATCTCTAGGTTATGAAGATATTCCCATGTTTTTCTTGAAAAGCTTTAGGGCTTAGGATGCCTGGGTGGCTCAGTGGTTGAACACCTATCTTCGGTTCAGGGCATGATCCTGGGGTCCCAGGATCGAGTCCCACATCTAGCTTTCCACAGGGAGCCTGCTTCAGTCTCTGCCTTTGTCTCTGCCTCTCTTTCTGTGTCTCTTATGAATAAATAAATAAAAATTTTAAAAAAGCTTTACGGCTTTACATTTCAGTCCATGATTTATTTCAAATTATTCTTTGTTTATGGTGTGAGAAAGGAGTTGAGGTTTTGTTTGTTGGTTTCCATATGAACATCCAATTAATATAGCACCATTTTTTGAAAAGACTTTTCTTTCCCTGACAGATTGTCGCCTTTGTCAGACACAAAATGACTCTGTAAGTGTGGCCTATTTCCAGGTTCTCTGTTTAGATCTAATGATCTATTTGTCGATCCTTACATCACTATCACATTATCTTGTACTGTGGTATAAAACCACAAATAGTGGTCAAGTAGCTGGGCACTTCAAATTTGTTCTTCTATTTCAAGATCATTTCAGATATTCTAGACTCTTTGCATGTTTATGTAAAGGTAAAATCAGTATGTAAATTTCTACAAAAGATTCCCACTAGTAGAGTAGCAGGATTACAGTGACTCTGTAGATCAATCTGTAGTGAATGGACATGTTGACAACACTGAGTCTTCAAATTTGTGAACATGAATGTATCTCTCCATTTCTTTGGGTCTTTTAAAATCTCTCTCTCAATAATGTTCTGTAGTCTTCAATATAAATGTCTTGCCCATCTTTTGCTAAATTTATTCCTGAGTCTTTTATGCTTTTTAAAAAAGATTTATTTATCTACTTTTTAGAGAGAGAGAGTGCATGTAAGCAAGGGGAAGGGGCAGTGGGAGAGGGAGAAAGAGAATCTTAAGCAGATGCCACACTCAGCACAGAGCCGGACACAGAGTTTGATTCAACCACCCTGAGCCAAAATCAAGAGTCAGACGTTGGACCAAGTGGGCCATCCAGATGCCCCTCTTTTATGCTTTCTGAAGATATTAATAGAATTATTTTTCTAATTTCATTTTCCAAACTTTTGCTGCTACTATATGAAAATACAGTTGATATTTTAACATTAATCTTGTATCCAGCAATCTTAATCTTGTTCAATTGGGTTATTAGTTCTAATAGTTGTTTTAGATTTCATAGGATGTTTGACATAAACAATCATGTAATATGGAGTTAAAATTCTTTTCCAGTATTTTTTTTCTTTTTCTTTTCCAGTCTTTATGCCTTTGTTTCCTTTATTTGCAAAACTGCAGTGGTTGAGGCTTTCAGTTCATTATTGAATGGAATAGGTGGGAATAGGAGTAGATATCCTTGTCTTGTTCCTAATATTGTGGGAAGTCATTCAATATCTCACCATTAAATACAATGTTAGCTGTAGGTTTCCATAAATGCCTTTTATCAGATTGAAGGATTCTCTTCTATTCTTCATTTTCCAAGAGTTTTTATTTTATTTTTTTAAGATTTTATTTATTTTTTCATGAGAGACACACACACAGAGAGAGGCAGAGACACAGGCAGAGGGAGAAGCAGGCTCCACGCAGGGAGCCCGATGTGGGGAACTCGATCCCAGGTCTCCAGGATCATGCCCTGGGCTGAAGGCAGGCGCCAAACTGCTGAGTTTTGGGATCCCCGAGTTTTTATTATAAATGAGTATTGAATGCTTTTTCTGTCTCTGTTGCAATGATCATACAATTTTTTTCCACCATTCAGTTAATATGGTGGGTTTCACTGATTGATTTTTCTAATATTAACCCAACCTAGCATTTCTGGTATGAA